TACACCTGCACTTGCAAGTTTATTTCAGTTTACAATATTCACAATATCTAATAAATGCAGTCAACCTAGGGGTCTGTTGAGAGAAGAATGGATAATGGGGTCGGTGCTATGGCATAGCAGGCAACCCATATGGGCACTGGTTTGAGTCCCAGCTGCTCCACTTCCAATCCAGCTCTCTGCTATGGCCTGGGAAAGCAGTAGAAGTTGGCCCAAGTCCTTGGGCCCCTGCACCGGCGTGGGAGACTTGAAAGAAGATCCTGGCTCCTGATGGATAGAGAACGATACACCATGTTAACATTAATAAAAGTGAGAATAGCTATTAATTTCATATAAAGCAGGTCTCAAAGAAAGGAATGTTTTCAGAGAGAAGAGCATTACACAATGATAGGCTAATTATCTGAGAAGATACAGCAATTCCTAACATATATGTAACTAACAATGTAATATTAAAATATAGGAGGCAAAAACTGATGGAAATTAAAATAGAAACAGTTTACCATTTTAGTTTAAGACTTTAACAAAAGTCTTAAATGGATAGTCAAAAATGGACAGGAAATTGATATAGACTTGTTTGAACTTAACAACACTATCAATCAACTGAACATAATTGACATACATATACACATACTTCACACAACAACATCTGATTATTCATTCTCAAGCTCACAGGGACCACCCACCATGGCAAATCACATAATGAGCTATAAAGCACATGTTAACAAACTTAAAGAACAGAAATAATACAATGTCTGTTCACAGATAACAATATAATTAAACTAAACTAGGAACCAGTAAAAGAGATAACTGGAACAGCTCAGAATACTGGGAGATTGAGCAACACTCTTGGGACAAAGAACTCTTGGAAAGCGCATTTAGCCTGTGGTTATAACACCTGTTAAGATGCCTGTGTTCTGTACTGGAGTACTTAGATTTGATACCTAGTTCCAACCCTGACTCCAGCTTCCTGATAATGAAGAGAGGTAGTGTTGATTGTCCAAGTAATTGGGCTCCTGATGCCCACATGGGTGATCCCATTCCTGGCTCCCAGCTCTAGTCCAGCCCAGTCACAGCTACCATGAGCATCCGGGTAGTAAACCAGTGAGTGATAGCTCTCCTATTCTCTCTCTCTCTCTCTCTCTCTCTCTCTCTCTCTCTCTCTCTCCCTCTCTCTCTCTCTCTGCCTTTCAAATGAACAAAGAAATTTCTTAAAAGAAATCTTGAGAAATTAAAAAATATTTTGAAGTAAATTACAATGAAACAATGTATCAAAAGTTTAGGATACAACAATTACAGTGCTCAAAAAAATTTATAGCAATAAATGCAAGCATATATTGGAAAAACATATCTAAAATAAATCACCTAAGCTTACAAAGCTTAGTTGACAAACTAGGACAAAAGCAAATCACATCCAACGTAAAAAGAAAACAAAACAAAATCATAAAAAGCAGAAATGAATAACACTGGAAACAAGAAATGAACAGAGAACATAAATGAAGCCAGAAGGTTTTTTTAAAATATTTATTTATTTAATTTGAAGGAATTACAGAAACAGAGGGACAGATGGACAGAGAGATTTTTCATCTGCTGGTTCACTCCCCATATGGCCACAATGGCCAGTGCTTACTCCAGGTCTCCCACATGCGTGGCAGGGACCCAAACACTTGGGCCATCTTCCACTGCTTTTCCTAGGCCATTATCAGGGATCTGGGTTGGAAATGGAGGAGCCACTGGGACACAAACCAGCACCAATATGGGATGCCAGTGTCACAGGTGGCAGATTTACTTGCTGCGCCACAACGCTGGTCCCCAAAAGTTGTTTCTTTTAAAGATCAATAAAACTGATAAGCTTCTTACCATGCTTAAAAAAAGCATAGAGGATGCAATTTATTAAAATTAGAAATGCAAGAGGGGACATCACTAGAGATCTTATGTACATCAGAAGGATGGTTTGTAAAAGGAGAATGAAAAAATATTATTGACAACTCTACGCCCATACATTTGATAACCTAGATGAAATGGACCAATTCCTTGAAAGACAGTCTGCCAAAACACACAAGACAATTTTAATAGATCTATGTCATTTTTAAAAGTCAAATTTCATCAATAATTAACAACCTTACAAAACAGAAAGCACCAGACCAAGATGGGTTTGTTGGTGCATTGCACCAAATATTTAAGGAAGAAATCATACCAATTATTTACAATGTCTTTAAGAAGACAGATGCAGTGGGAATACTTTCTAATATTCTGTGTGATCAGCATTACCCTGAAACCAAGAGTATACAAACATTAAATAAAACAGGCCAGCATTGCGGCATAGCAGATAAAGCCACTGCCTGCGATGCCAGCATCCCCTGTGGGCACTAATTTCTGTCCCAGAGGCTCCACTTCCAAACCAACTCCTTGCTAATAGCCTGGAGAAAGCAGTGGAAGATGGCCCAGGTGTTTGGGCCCAGTCACTCACATGGGAGACCCAGATGAAGCTTCTGGCTCCTGGTGTAGGCCTGGCCTAGCCCTAGCCATTGCAGCTATCTGGAAGAGTGAACCAGAGAATGGAAGGCCTTTCTCTGTCTCCCTCTTGCACTCTCTATCTCTGACTTTCAAATATAAAAATAAATCTCAAAAAAAAAAAAAAAAAAAAAAAAAAGGAAAACTACACAGGGCTGGCATTGTGGTACAGTGGGTTAAGCCACCACTTGTGAAGCCAGTATTCCATGTGAATCCTGGTTCAAGTCTTAGCTGCGCCACTTCTGGCTCAGTTCTCTTCAAATATGCCTTGGAAAACAGTAAAAGACGGCCCAAGTGTTTGGGCCCCTGTCACACACATGGGAGACCTGGATGAAGCTCTGCTTCCTGGCTTTGACCAATTGGAACAGAATGGAAACTCCGGAAATCAATCCACACATCTACAATCAGCTAATCTTTGACAAAGAAGCTAAAATCGGTCCCTGGAGAAAGGACAGTCTCTTCAACAAATGGAGCTTGGAAAATGGGACCTCCATGTGCAAAGCAGGAAACGAGACTCCTACCTTACACTTCTTATAAAAATCAATTCAAATGGATCAAGGGTCTAAATCTATGATCTCATACCATCAAATTACTAGAGAACATTGGGGAAACTCTAGAAGACACTGGGAAGACTTCTTGGAGAAAACCCCAGAAGCACAGGCAATCAAAGCAAAAATAGACAAATGGGATTACATCAAGCTCAGAAGATTCTGCACTTCAAAGGAAGCACTCAGTAAAGTGAAGAGGCACCTGACAGAATAGGAGAAAATATTTGCAAATTTTGCAACTGGTAAAGGATTAATATCCAGAATCTATAAAGAGCTCAAGAAACTCAACAACAACAAAACAAGCAGCCCAGTTAAGAAATGGGCAAAGGACTTGAACAGGCATTTTCAAAAGAGAAAAATCAAATGACTAAGAGATACATGAAAAAGTGCTCAGAATCACTAGCCATCAGGGAAATGCAAATCAAAACCACAGTAAATTTCCACTTCACCCCAGTTAGAATGGCTTTCATACAGAAATCAACAAATGACAAATGCTGGATATGGCAAAAAAGGCACCCTAATCCACTGTTTGTGGGAATGTAAACTGGTGCAGCCATTGTGGAAGACAGTATGGAGATACCTTAGAAATCCAAAAATGGATCTACCATATGACCCAGCCATCCCACTCCTGGGAATTTACCCAAGGGAAATGAAATCAGCATGCGAAAGAGTGATCTGTACCCCCTTGTTTATTGTAGCTCAATTCACAATAGCTAAGATGTGGAATCAACTCATGTCCAACAACCAATGACTGAATAAAGAAAATATGGTATATAGACACCATGGAATATTAGCCATAAAAAAGAATGAAATCATGTCTTTCATAACAAAATGGATGCAATTGATAACCATTATATTTAGTGAAATAAACCAGTCCCAGAAAGACAAATATGTTTTCCCTGATCTATGGTAATTAATACAGTACAAAAAATGCAACATATACTAATTTGCATTGCAAGGTACATAAAACTATTCCTGTGTATAAACTCTTGAGAGGAAATCAAGTCTAAATGAACTTGATTATTATCTTGTAACCACACAGGAAAAATTTATATGTCACATTCTTACTGGTTCTATTTCACTGAAAGAAATTATGAATGAATAATCGACCAAAAAGTTGTAAATGAGTGAAATGCTCATTTTTTTCCATTCAATTATTGTTAGCCATTGTCTATATTCTCACTAAACTAGGGTCTTTTGGCTTTTTATCTGGTGAACTTCTTATTTGGTGAAATAAGTTATCTCAAAAATTAAAAAAAAAAAAAGACAGGTAGAAGGAATATGGTGGGAAGGAGGGAGGAAAGGAATATCATTATGTTATTAGACTTGTATCTACAAATCATACTGAGTCTATTAAGAATTAATTAAAACAGGGCCAGCACTGTGGCGTAGTAGGCTAAGCCTCTGCCGGTGGCACCAGCATCCACAGTTCATGTCCTGACTGCTCTTCTTCCAATCTAGCTTGCTGCTTATGGCCTGGGAAAGCAGTGGAAGATGGCCCAAGTGCTCAGGTCCCTGTACCCACTTGGGAGATTTGGAAGAAGCTCCTGGCTCCTGGATTCAGCTCAGCTCAGCTCTGGCTGTTGTGGCCATCTGAGGAGTGAACCAGCAGATGGAAGATCTCTCCCTGTCTCTAACTATGCCTTTCGAATAAAGAAATAAAATCCTTTAAAAATTACTTAAAATTGAAATAAAAAATTAAAAAGTTAATTACAGAAAAAGAAAAGGTAGAAATTTATAAAAAATGTTTTTGCTATGTTGATAGCTAAGAGTGGATCTTGAATGTAGTGACTACATTATCACGGAAGCTCCTTATAACAGATTCCCGAGCTTTTTGTTTGCATCAGCCCTGCCCCGCTGTAACTATATCAGGGTTCTTTAATATGAGATTGAATTTTACAGTTAAAAATACCTTCTTTCTCTCTCTGCCTTCTCCCCCTTCAGTATGCACAGATCTTAAAAGAAAGACTGAGAGAATCTTTTCATGATGTTCAGTATGTGGAGCCTCCATTTGATGACTCAATTGTGGATATAGGTAAAGAATGGAAGAGTGCCCTGGCGAAATTAAAGTTTGCTAATTCCTATAGAATGGAGCCATTGAGGAAATTCCAAGCTCATTCAGTGGAAACTAAAGTCCAGCAGATATTAAAGGTAGGTTGAGCTATGTATAAAAGAAGCAATAAGATTCTCCAGAATAACAACAGCCTAATAAGATATTATAAAAAATTTTATTACAGGAATTGATTCATGCAACTATAGAGGCTGAGAGGCCCACACCCTGCTGTCTGCAAACTGGAAAATGTGTGTAACACAGTCTGAGCCCAGGGGCCTGAGGACCAGGGCAGCCACTGCAATAAGCCGCAGTCCAAGCCTAAAGGCCCAACAATCTGCACTAATGTCTATGGGCCACAGAAAGTGGATGTCTCAGCTTGGGCCATCTTCTGCTACTTTCCCAGATGCATTAGCCCAGAGCTGGATCAGAATTGGAGCAGCCTTAACTTGAATCAGGACCTGTATGGGATGTTGGCAATGCAAGCAGAGGCTTAACCGGCCACACCACAAAGCCGGCCCCAAATTATGTAGCTATAAACCTGAAGTTTTCATTGTTGACATATCATGTGGCCAAGTCACTCTTTCTTAATTTTCTACCAAATGCATTAGGATTTATGGAAATAAACACATTTTATTGGCCACATCTTGAGATTCACTTTTATAAACTTTTTTTTTAAGATTTATTTTGGGCCGGCGCCGCTGCTCAATAGGCTAATCCTCCGCCTGCGGCGCCCGCACCTCGGGTTCTAGTCCCGGTCGGGGCGCCGGATTGTCCCGGTTGCTCCTCTTCCAGTCCAGCTCTCTGCTGTGGCCAGGGAGCGCAGTGGAGGATGGCCCAAGTCCTTGGGCCCTGCACCTGCATGGGAGACCAGGAGAAGCACCTGGCTCCTGGCTTCGGATCAGCGTGATGCGCTGGCCACAGCAGCCATTGAGGGGGTGAACCAACGGCAAAAGGAAGACCTTTCTCTCTGTCTCTCTCTCTCTCACTGTCCACTCTGCCTGTCAAAAAAAAAAAAAAAAGATTTTGAAAGTCACAGCTGCAGAGAGTGAGAGATCTCCCATCTGCTGGTTCATTCCCAGATGACTGCAATGGTCAGCACTAGACCAGGAGCCAGGAGCTTCATCTGGGTCTCCCACGTGGGTGGCAGGGACCCAAATCCTTGGATCTTCCTCTGCTTTTTCCAGGCCATTAGGAAGCAGGAAGCTGGATTGGAAATGGAACAGCTGGGACACAAATGGGACACAAACCTACACCCACATGGGGTGCTGGCATCACAGGTGGCGTCTTTACGCTCTACGCCATGATGACGGCCCCCACTTTTAGAAACTTTAGTCATGCAGTGGGCCTTTGGCCTAGCAGTTAACTCTCCAGTTAAGGCGCCCTCATCTCAAGGGCCAGCATTGTGGTGTAGCTAGTAATGCTGCCGCCTGCAACACCAGCATACCGTATGGGTGCCAGTTCAAGTTCCAGCTGCACCACTTTCGATCCAGCTCCCTGCTAATGCACCTGGGAAAGGAGCAGAACATGGCCCAAGTGCCTGGGGCCCTGCTAACACGTGGGAGACCTGGAAGAAACTCCTGGCTCCCGGCTTCCGGCTCCTGGCGTTGGCCTGGCACAGCCCTAGCTATTGCAGCCGTTTGAGGAGTGAACTAGCGAATAGTTCTCTTTCTATCTCTTCTCTCTCTGTAACTCTGCCTTTCAAATTAATAAGTAAATCTTTAACAACAACAAAAGACTGCTGATGAGTTTTAAGGACATTTCTGGAAACAGTTAAGGAACATATAGATGAAGAACAAAGGATTATGCAAGGTCACTTCAGATAACTTAGGTGAAACAGCCTGTGCACACATCGCTCCAGTCACATCAGAAGAGACGCGTAGCTCTGTCCAGATGCTCCTCAGACAGGCGCCAACAGGTGATGCTCCTGACCGCCTTGCCGGCTTTCTAGGGCCAGCATGTTCTCAGTTCCCCTCACCCCCATGGGAGACCTGGACTGAGTTCCCAGATTTCTGCTATGCCTGAGGCTGCGCGCATTTGGGGGTGTGCGCCAGCAGATGGCAGCTCTCATCTGTCTCTGTAAATAAATAAATAGATATTAATAAATTAAAGGAATCCTGGTCACATACAAATCCAAATACCGCATTGTGGTTTGGGGAGCCATCTGAAATCAATCTTCTGCCAAGTCCACCAAATCGTCAAATAAGCATTTATCAAGTTATCTGCATTTTTTCCAATCTTTGATACATAAATGAACAGAAATTCTAGAATTTTCAGATTTCAACATTCGGACTTTTAATTTTGGGGGCTTATTTTCAGAAGCTTTAGACATTAAGGGTTTCAACACTGGGTTCATGACATTCAGGACTGGGTACTGGGGATTTTGATTGCATCACTCTCAGGCAAGTGGCAGTTGGTACTGGTGGGAGGAGCGTGGCTGGGGTGAGAGAGACGACTATGTTTGCATTCTTTTATGAAAGTAATTGCAATCGAAGCACAGAGTGTGCACCCCCAAAACTTTAGGCCAGAGAATGTGGGAGACCTGGCTGCAGCCACCCACACCTGAGAGAAGCTGAGACCTTGTGGTGGTGCACATTCCTGTCCCGGAGTATGCTGAGGTCGCATGCAGTGCAAGCTGGTGATGTGGGAGACGTGGGGTCTGAGCACAGGCACACATGCGGTGCTCAAACTGATAACGTTTACTCAGAAGGTGACAATGTGGCATAGTTAGAATGGGCCAGAAGAGAAGGGGTGGGGGCAGGGAAGTAGAGAGAGGGGACATCCTCAGTATTTTCTCTTGGCCTTGTCTCAGGCGGAGTGAGCACCTCCCACCACCTCCTTTTAGGGGGTAATGTGGTCACTTGGGAGAATTATGCGGGCAGGCCATAATGGGGCGCCCATTTGAATCCCAGCCGAGTTTCCTGCTAGGCATGTCAGCAAAGGCAGCAGATAATGGCCCGAGTACTCAGGCCCCTGCCATCAGTGAGAGACAAGGATGGAGTTCCCAGCTTCTAGCCTCAGCCCGGCCCAGCCCTGGCTGTTGCAGCCCCTGGAGAGTGAACCAGTGGGTGGTAGGGCTCTCTCGTTCCTCCCTCTCTGTTGCTCTGCCTTTCAAGAAAATTAAATTTTTAAAAAGATATGAGAGTTAGTTTAGCAATGTTTATTCATTTCACTCCACAGTCTCCACTCTCCATCTTCCTGGCACAGAGATCACTTTCACATAGGAGTGTCACCTGTTGGTTTCAGGAACAAAAGGAAAGCATCCGCTGATTTTTGAGAGCCTTTAACTCAAAATGATGAATGCGCAAGTGGGTGCTTTAGGGTGGCATACTTTGATCCTGTATACCACCTTCCAGTCTCCCTCCATTATTACACACACGGATACATTTCTAACTGAATTAATCATTTCCAGATGATATTTGGCAAAGATATGGCTCATGGATTCAGAAAATAAATGCAGTTCAACTTAATACAATAATCACTACCTGCTGCTCTGATCTAAACTCTAACAAGCAGCATTTGTGATATAAGAGTATGTTTTTGGTGTGTCTCTCACTCGGCCTTACCTTAGGGGCTGAATTCAAATGTACTGACTATGGTGGGATTTCAAATAGTGTTGAAAGTATAACACCGTACAGACCTGCACTGAGAATGCTGGCGCTGGAACAGCTCGTGGGACCCGGAGTTTGGATGACCAGGGTTCTCTGTTCGGTCTGAAGGAGCACGGAGTGTAGAAGTAGCAGAAGTGGAAGTAGGAGGCATTGACAGAGCTTGGGGGGCATCGTCCCATAGTTTGCGCTCAGTATCTATTAACATCGGGGTTTCAGGTAGGGAAGGCCTGGATTCTCTGGGGCAGACCAGAGGAGCGGATGGGGAGCAGGGGCAAGGAGAACAGGGGCAGGAATACAGTCCCTCTGCGTGGAGAACGGGGAAGAATTTGCCCTTACCCACTCATTTTAACTTCCAACTACTGTGTCTTCTCACAAGACTCTGGGCAGCCACATTCCTGGGTAAAGTCAGAGTCAAGGCAAGTGTGAGTGGCCCACTGGTGGGTGAGGCTGAGGGGCCACAGCCCAAGATGGAAAGAGCAGGGGGCAGTTTCAGAACACTGGGACCTCCCAGGTGTAGGGACTGAGAAGAGAGGGATTTGGGGGAAGATGGAAGTCGCTCTGATAACCCTGTAGATGTATGGCTTTTTCTTCTAGCCAGTCCTCAGAGTTCTTTTTATACACATAGATTGTAAGTTGGGGAGTAGGAAGGAGAGGGAGAGAGGGAGAGAGGAGAGGGAGAGGGAGAGGAGAGGGAGAGGGAGAGGGAGAGGGAGAGGGAGAGGGAGAGGGAGAGGGAGAGGGAGAGGGAGAGGGAGAGGGAGAGGGGGAGAGGGGGAGAGGGGGAGAGGGGGAGAGGGGGAGAGGGGGAGAGGGGGAGAGGGGGAGAGGGGGAGAGGGGGAGAGGAAATAAAGCAAGCAATCAAGCAGGCTATCTCCCATTTGCTGATTCATTTCTCAAATGGCTGCAATAGCTGGGACTGCAACCAGGTGAAGCTGTGAGTCAGGAACTCAGGTCCATGTGGAGGACAGAGATCCATTACCTGAGCCATCACCTGCTGCCTCCCAGGGCGCGGTAGCAGGACCCTGAAATGGGAAGGGCTCAAACGCCAGCACTCCAGTGCGGCCCGTGTGTGTCCTAACTTGCGCCAAATGCCCGCCCCAGGCCTCACAGCTCTTAAAACAATGCACTTGGGGAACAACTCCCCGTTCACGTGCTGAAAGCTGTGAAAAACTAACAGGAATAAGTGAAGTGGACGTGATAATAACCATAGATAAACAAAGGTAAAGCCCAATTTTGCTGTCTTAAGAAACTAGGGGAACAAAGTTGCCAGTATAACCTGGAGCAGCATCTCAGGGCTCTGAAGGTCAGTGTGAGGCCCACATGTGGTTGGAGATGTTTCTAGAAAGACAGTGGTGAGTTGAGTTTGCTCGGAGGAAAGATGGAGCTTGGTTTCGGAGGAGCGCGGAGCAGCCGACAGGGGGAGCAGCCGACGGGGGAGCAGCGGACAGGGGGAGCAGCTGACAGGGGGAAGACTGAGCCACCGCCAGAGTCCCAGCGCAAGTCGTGCTGCTGGACTCAGTTTCGGATACGTGAGTTTCTGACAGGCACCAAGACCAAGCCAAGTGTTTTAAATAAACGAAATGAAAGGCAGTTTCTTTGGTTGTGCAGTCCAGAAACAAGCTGTTGGGCCCGCATGCGGTTGGGAGGACCGAGCAGTGGGAACTGCTGGTGCACGTGAGACTGGCCCAGCAAAGGCAGCATGGCCTGTCGTGCCAGCAGGCTACACTCTAATTTATGAGGAAGTACAGTCAGCTACCTCTGATTTCTTTGCATTTCCCTGGAGGCCAAAGGAAAATGCAGCAGAGTGAGGAGTGGTGGCAAGAGGGTCAAGAAGAAGTAGGGGTTGGCCTGAGGAAGCCGAGGAAGACAGCAGCGACCTGGTGCAGGCCTATGCATTTTTAAAAAGTGTCTGCCTAAGAATTTCCAGAAGCCTTCTTTTGAAATTCCCCTGTGTAGCCCTAACAACAGGTTAACAAGAGTAGTCTGGTGAAATAAAACTACAGCCTAGTGTTGGTAAGGAAGAGCAATGAAACGTGATTCCAAAACACAAGACAGATTTTTAAAAGATCTGACACACAGAGATAGAGAGATCTTCCAACTGCTGGTTCAGTCCCCAAGTGGCTGCAGCAGCCAGGGCTGGGTCTAGCCAGACCATTAGCCAGGAGCCACGTACTGTCTCCCACTTGGATGGCTGGGGCCCAGGTACTTGAGTCATCTGCTGCTGCCTTCCCAGACGTTAGCAGGAAGCTGGATAGGAAGCAGAGCAACTGGGACTTTAACTAACAGTCTGACATGGAATGCTGGCATTGCAAGTGGCAGCTTAACACGCTGTGCCATAGTGCCAGCACTAATAAAACAGATTTTTAAAAAAATTATCACTGGGGCCGGCACTGTGGCGCAGCGAGTACAGTTGCTGCCTGCAGTACCAGCATCCCATATGGGCACCAGTTCGAGTCCCGGCTGCTCCACTTCCCATTCAGCTCTCAGCTATGGCCTGGGAAAGCAGTAGAAGATGGCCCAAGTCCTTGGGTCCCTGCACCCATGTGGAAAGACCCAGAGGAAGCTCCTGGCTCCTGGTTTCAGATCGGCATAGCTCTGGCTGTTGCAGTCAAATTGGGGAGTGAACCAGTGGATGGAAGACTGACCTCTCTCTGCCTCTCCTCTCTCTGTGTGCAAGTCTGACTTTCAAATAAATAAATATATCTTTAAAAAATTATCATTGAAGTGTAAACTAGGAAGCATAACATTTATTTATCAATACTTTGTTAGGAATATGTATATTTTTAACTTTTAAAATAGTGTATTACTTAGATATATGTTCTACTTGTATTTTTACATTGAAAATTAAAATATTTTCCTTAACTTGTTTTTCAAAGGAAAGTCTTAAAGATGTCAAATATGATGATAAAGTCTTCTCTCATCTGTCACTTGAATTGGCAGACCGCATATTGTTAGCAGTCAAAGAATTTGGGTTCCATCGTTATAAGTTCATTATAAAAGTATTATTTATTCAAAAGACTGGTCAAGCAATAAATGTAAGTACTCATTGATCCATCGGTTGGAACCCTGAGGTATCTCCCCCCCACCCAGTGATTTAATATTTATCGTGGGGACTCCAGGGTACTTCAATACTCTGAGGGTCCTCTCGAATGGAAGGACCATTTTGTAAACATATTTCATTTCACTCTAAACTGTTTGAAAAGCAATACAATAGAAGTTGTATTTTACTATGGATAATTTATTAAATTGCATAGTTATCCTGTGCTTTGGTCATATCAGCTTGGACAATTTATGTCATTTAAGTTAATTAATTAACCAGTAAATTTCAGAGAGAGAGAAAGGGGACAGACACTTTTGTCTAGGTGGCAGAATCCTGTGGAAAATACAAAGAGTGTGCACTGTGGCTCTGAAGGGGCACCCGCTCCAGCCAAGGGCATAATGCAGCACAACTCAGGGGTCGTGGCAACAGCCCGGGCCTGCATCAGCTTGCCCAGGAGTAAGTCGAGACAGCAGCCTGCATGGCTGAGGCCTTGGCAGAGTGGCTTCCTTACAAAATGGTGGTGATAACACCTACTTCCCAGAGTTGTTATGAAGATTAAGTGAAATTATCTGCATTGAATTCCTCAACAGATTCACCTCACAGAGCCCTCAGTAAGCAGTAAGGTGATTAACACTATTTGTAAATACACTAGGCTGTGTCGGTATCTAGGGAATTGACAGTGCATATTGAGGGCTGCAGAGACCCTGCTGTTTGGAACATTCCGGAGGCCTGCAGCAGGAGGGTGCTGCATACTGAAGCACGGGGAGGGAGACTGAAGGGGGGGTCAGGCAAGACATCAGTCACAAGACGAAGGTGGACCTGCCACCTTCAACACACACCTACACAACGGGACAATTCTGGATGGAGCTAAGTGCTCTAGAAAGGAAGTTAAGGGTCAGTGCCGCGGCTCACTAGGCTAATCCTCCGCCTGCGGCGCCAGCACACTGGGTTCTAGTCCCGGTCGGGGCGCCGGATTCTGTCCCGGTTGCCCCTCTTCCAGGCCAGCTCTCTGCTGTGGCCCGGGAAGGCAGTGGAGGATGGCCCAAATGCTTGGGCCCTGCACCCACATGGGAGACCAGGAGGAAGCACCTGGCTCCTGGCTTCAGATCAGTGCAGTGCACCGGCACCCAGCGCGCTGGCCGCGGCGGCCATTTGAGGGTGAACCAACGGCAAAGGAAGACCTTTCTCTCTGTCTCTCTCTCTCTCTCTCTCTCTCACACTGTCCACTCTGCCTGTCAAAAAAATAAAAAAGAAAAAAAATAAGAAAGGAAGTTAAGGTAGGATGATATAAGGTGTGACGTGAGTGGTTACTTGGGTACCGCTCGAATGACAGCAGGAACCAGTGGCATGAAAGATGAGAGAGAACATTCCAAGAAGAGTTAGCTTTGAGTGTGAAGATCAAAAGGCGGGGGGGGGGGGGTGAGGGGGGATTTGGTGTGCTGGATTAATCACAAGGGCAGTTGGCTGTATTTAGCTAGAGGAGAGTGGAGTGGAGTAATATGTCTGCTAATACTGCTTCACATCAAACCACCGCAGAGCTTAGCAGCTTGGAATGGCAGCCATTTGTTTGCGCACCTCTTTATGGGCCAGATCCCTCTGGATCAGCTGCTGGGTCTGTCTGCTGTCCCCTGGTGACCTCTGGGCCCACGGGTCCACATTGGTCTCCTCACACATCTGAGAGCTGTTGCTGGCTGCTGGCTAGGGCACAGAATTCTCCTGCCCATAAGCCATCATCCTCCAGTGCAGAGTGGGCTTCCTTACATGGGGGTCCAGCAGATGCTGCAAGACCTCTGAAGACCTGGCTAGCAAACTGTGGGTGTCACACTCTGTTGGCCAACAAATCAAGGCCAACTCCTGTTCAGAGGGTGGGGGGACAGGGTCAACCTCTTGACAGAAACCACAGAGAATAAATATGTGGCCATACTTGGTCCACACAGTTAGGCTGCAGTCAGATCGTGTATGGCTTTCTAGGTGGAACAGAGGAGTTAGGATTTTCTGTAACAGCCTGCCTGTATAATCAATGTCATTTCTTCACTTCAGGACAGACTTTTATTTGAAAATATTTGAAGAGTAGAGAGAAGAATTTCTTTTTTTTAAATATTTATTTATTTATTTGAAAGTCAGAGTTACACAGAGAGAGAAGGAAAGGTAGAGAGAGAGAGGGAGAGAGGGGGAGAGAGAGAGAGAGAGAGTCTTCCATCCACTGGTTCAACCCACAGTTGGCAGCAATGGCCAGAGCTGTGCCAATCTGAAGTCAGGAGCCAAAAGTTTCTTCCGCGTCTCCCATGCGGGTTCAGGGGCCCATGGACCTGAGCCATCTTCCACTGCCTTCCCAGGCCATAGTAGAGAGCTGGATGGGAAGTGGAGTAGCCAGGACTCGAACCGGCGCCCTAATGGGATGTCGACACTGCCACCCAGGTGGTGGGTTTACCCACCATGTCACAGTGCCGGCCCCAGGAGAAGTTCTTAGCATGGACTGTAATGTAGCAGAGTGGTGTTTATGCAGGACTGCTGGACGGCAGCACAGAGGCCTCTGCCTCTGCCCCTGCCCCTGACACACTCAGCTAAGGTGGCACCCTGGTGGATAAACACCAGCCTCTGCACAAATGAGAGGGTGGGTCCATGTGGCATCACTCTTCATGAAAGGGAAGACTGGACAGAGTACTTCTTAAATGTGACTTCATATGATACAAAGTCACCTGGTTTAAACATCCAAACTAGTGTAGATTTGACAACCACCTAACATGCTCAATCTAAAGTTGGTCTTTTAAAAATTTCTCTTACAGATTGCCAGCAGATGGATCTGGGACGTTGCTTGGGACAGCTGGGTTGAAGCGAAGCATGAAACTGAATCTTACGTAGCACTGGCGCTGGTATTTGCTCTTTACTGTGAATAGCTTGATTCCCATACTAAAGGGTTTACATTCCAACTTCTCAAGATAAATGAAAAAAAGATGAATGAAATAGATAGATTGTGAACCTCATGGTAGCTTTGATTAACTACATTGTTATCTACAATTGAGTTTTTAATGGAATTCTTGTAACAACAAACAAGAAAACTAGATTTTTAAATTTATACTTCCCAGTTGTATTTATTAACATTGTGTTATACAAAAGTAGTATGAGGTGTGTGTATTTATGAATTCTTATAGTGAATAATAATAAAGAGAGATATTCTTTTTAGATTTATGAAAATTAGAATTTGCTGCAGGAAATTAAGATACAATCTTGTAAAGTATCAAATGGCCGGGGTGTTTGGACCCTGCACCCTATGGGAGACCAGGACAGGAAAACAGACAAGAGAGAGATTCTTTTTTTTTTTTTTTTTTTTTTTTTTTTTGGACAGGCAGAGTGGACAGTGAGAGAGAGAGACAGAGAGAAAGGTCTTCCTTTACCGTTGATTCACCCTCCAATGGCCGCTGTGGCTGGCACACCGCACTGATCCGAAGCCAGGAGCCAGGTGCTTCTCCTGGTCTCCCATGCGGGTGCAGGGCCCAAGCACTTGGTCCATCCTCCACTGCCCTCCCGGGGCCACAGCAGAGAGCTGGACTGGAAGAGGGGCAACCGGGACAGAATCCGGCGCCCCGACTGGGACTAGAACTTGGTGTGCCCGCGCCGCAGGTGGAGGATTAGCCTAGTGAGCCATGGCGCCGGCCAAGAGAGAGATTCTTGATCCACTGGTTCACTCCCCAAATGCCTGCAACAGCTAGGTCCAGGCCAAGCCAAAGCTGGGAGCCCAGAACTTCCTCCAGGTCTCCCACCTGCAGGGCAGGGACTCAAGTACTTGAGCCATCACCTGCGCTTCCCAAAGTGCGCCTTGTTAAGAAGCTTGATCAGAAGCAGAATGACTGGGACTTGAACCAGAAGCTCATTTACAGGATCCTGTCATCCATGCGTTGATTTAAGCTGCTGTGTCAAATTTCTAACCCAGTCAGGCAAGGGCAACGTAATTGTTTAGAGAAATGAGGAAACTTTTATTTCTCAGGCATTTAACCGAGGACCCAGGGTCTCTCTCTCTTCCCACCCTCCCTGCAGTCTTCTGGGTCTGTTTGTCAACTTTGCACACTAATCACTTTCCCATGACCAGACCAGCAACAATCCACTCCTGTGGGGTGGGACAGGAGCCCACCCTCCACGAAGCTCAGGGTCAGGTGGGGAGAGCGGAGACGAGGTGTCACGGGGACCCACGAAGCACAGGGTCAGGTGGGGAGAGCGGAGACGAGGTGTCACGGGGACCCACGAAGCACAGGGTCAGGTGGGGAGAGTGGAGACGAGGTGTCACGGGGACTCCTCTAGCAAGGACGCTGAGGGTGTACTCGGGAAGGCAAGCAGCGATGTCTGCGATTACCTATGCGACTTTCCTAGTTATAGTCAAGGACCCGTATGAAACCTTGGCAAGAACACCATCTCATGTGTCTCTCACATTTGGGGCAGGATGAGTGCCCCAGGACTAACAAAAGTCATATCACAGAGCACTGACAAGATAGTTACCAACTGATAGCTATCAACTGCCAAGCTTGGCCATAGAAAAATCCAGTAGTAACAAACCTGTGAAATGGACCATTTCAAGCAATGTGTATTCCTGATAAACTCATTGGGACAAATTAGTTGGAAAATGTACTGCCTAGGGGCTGGTGCTGGGGCATAGTAGGTTAAGCTTCTGCCTGCAATGCCGGCATTCCATAAGGGCACCGGTTCGAGTCCTGGCTGCTCCACTTCTGGTCCAGCTCCCTGCTGATGCACCTGGGAAAGCAGTGAAAGATGGCCCAAGCCCTTTGGCCCCCGTGCCCACGTGAGAGACCAGGAAGAAGCTCCTGGCTCCTAGCTTTGGATCGGCCCAGCTCCAGTCACTGCAGCCATTTGAGTAGTGAACCAGTGAATGGACACCATCTCTCTCTGTCTCTCTATTTATAACTCTGCATCTCAAATAAATAAATCTTAAAGAAATGAAAATATACTGCCTAGTATTAAAGTAGACAGCCTCATAGACTTATTTGTAAAATGAGAATTACGCCTTTCTCCTAAGGTTAGCATATGCATTCACTTAGTATAACAATCAAGGACTTGTGCAGAGAGCATAAATTCTCAAGTGTTGTTTACGTGTGTAGAGTTGATATTTCTGAATTGCTTTCAGCTCTTTTCCTTCTCTTGCTCTTCTCTCCACCCATATGAGCTTAATTGTCCAATCCTCTGTACTATGAATGTCTTGAAACAACTTCAAATCCTCCCCTCTTTTCCAATACTGCATCTCTCTCATCTGGGTCCTCACATCTATTCACTTTCCTCACATCTATTGCAATTGCCCCCTTTTTTCATCTAATTAGTTTGTTAACTTTTTGTCCAGAAATATCCTACGTCTACCATATTCCTAGCAGTGAGTGACATGTAGATTGTACCATGGAAGACAGAGCAGAGAAGCCCTTGCCCTCAATGAACCTTCATTGCATTGAGGGGATGAGAGGGACTGGTGTCAAGCAACTCAACCTCTGTTTGTTGTGGTAAATGCCTCCACAGTGAACCAGTGAGAAAACCTGTGGCCCACTTTTCTTTGCTTCAAGTCTCATCCCCACGCTTCACATGCGAAACTGATGATGCCACCATCTTGGAAACTTACCTCTGATGACTTCGTATCTCTGATTACATGTCATTTGCTGCCTCAAAATGCCTCAGCTGCCTTTCAAGTGAATACAGATTCTTCTGCCTTCTTAGAAAGTTTCATCGGCCGGCGCCGCGGGCTCACTTGGCTAATCCTCCGCCTGCGGCGCCGGCACCCCAGGTTCTAGTCCCTGTTGGGGCGCCGGATTCTGTCCCGGTTGCTCCTCTTCCAGGCCAGCTCTCTGCTGTGGCCCGGGAGTGCAGTGGAGGATGGCCCAAGTGCTTGGGCCCTGCACCCCATGGGAGACCAGGATGAGTACCTGGCTCCTGGCTTCGGATCAGCACAGTGCGCCAGCTGTAGCAGCTATTTGGGGGGTGAACCAACAGCAAAGGAAGACCTTTCTCTCTGTCTCTCTCTCATTGTCTAACTCTGCCTGTAAGAAAAAAAAAAAAAGAAAGAAAGTTTCAGATTCTCTGTTATGTCACACTCTGCCATTTTCTGAGGTTTGGTGGATGCCAGCTGCACTATAAACATCTCCAATCCTAACAACACTTCTTTCTCCCTTCTATTCCAGAGTGGGTTAAGTGACTTCTTTTTTTAAGTGATTCTCCTAATAGCAGATGAACATTTCCATTGTTGCTTTCCCTATCCCAAACCTCATCCAACCCTCTTCCCCTGGAAGCTATGTTGAGGCTTGTAGCAACAAACCTCTGCCCAGCCATCATCTACCTCCTCACCTACTCCACCCAGGCAGCATTTCACCATGAGCCTGTGAGGTGTTGCAATCACTCTGCAGTCACCGGACCACCGTGCTGCACACGCAACACCTAACTTCCTGCGGCAGTTTCCCTCTGAACTGAAGGAACCACAAGGAAGAGGCGTGCCCAGGGCCACAGAATCATTCGAGCGCAGTGAGTGACCTGAGTTTCCCCCGGAAGAGTCTCTGCCGCCCTCTCAGGCAGAAGCTCCTTTTGTCTGTCAGTCCCTGATGCCACAGAGCGGGGGAGGCACTCGGCGCCCTTCGACCTTGCAGCCGCTGGAAGTGCATGCTGTCTGGATGTTCAAAAGTACTTCAAAAACTCCCAGAAAATGGAATTAAAAGGTACATTTGTTTTGGGGCCAAAAATTTTGAAATTCACATAGATGAAAGGGTCTTCAAAAAGTACGTGGAAAATGTGTATTATGAAAAAAACTATGCATTAATTTGAAAAGTCTTATTTTTCCACAATCCTTTTGAAGTATGCTAGTACAACCATTTACTTCTGTTTCTGTTGCCTGTGGTCTCTGGCTAATTCCTTCTCATCACTCAAGGACTGGAGCTATGCCAACTCCTGCCATCCTTCCGTGTGACTTCAATATGCACGTAGATGAGCCACTGAACAGGGTATCTACTAATGCCTCACAGGTCTCAGTCCTCGCGGTTCGGGGGATAACACTAATCCTCCAACAACAGGGTTCGCATTTCAGTTATGACGGTGTTAGCTGTGTCTGTGTAGAGCCCAGACTTCAGAGCTAGCTCTCCAGTCCACGAACCACTCACAACTAATGGATGGGCCGTGTTTGCATCTTCTGACGTTGCCACAGTGAAATGTCTTGGACTGGGTGGCTTCACCAATAAATGTTTCTTAAGATGCTGGAGTCTGGGAGTAGGGTACCAGTGTGCTAGTGTCCTTGGTGAGGACCTCCGGCTGGTGATACCCTCCCATGGTCTTTCCTTGGTAGGTGCATACAGAGAGAAAGGGAGGTCTTGTATCTCTTAGTGGAGATGGGTGGGATAGGTTCTTGTCTTTGTGCAAGAAGGAATTCACACATGAGACAGAGAGCAGTGGTAAACAAGGTATCGAGGTTTAATGGGTGGGGCATCCATCAGAATGGGCGGCACAGAATCCGAGAGTGTCCAGCCACTCAGACTGGAAAAAGCAAAGGCACACGGTTAAAAGGAGAGAACACACCTGGCAGGCTAAAGAGGTGGTTCAGGAAAGAGCTGAGAGCTGAGCGCCCAATCTGTATTCAGACTGGGGCTTAAAGGGAAAGGGATCCAGCTCTTCCTGCCATTTCTCTGTTTCTCTTTCCCCTCCTCCAACTCCTGCTTCAGGACAGAGTTTGTTGAGTGTGAATTAGGTGAATTCCTCCCAAGGTTTCACTCATCAGTGCTGTTGGACTGGGGAGCCCACCTGACCAGGGCAGAGGCACCTCCCCCAGTGTGCCTGCCGTGGGAGAAGGGTGTAAAGGCTTTATCACTCCATGTTATCCCGCCAGGTAGCCCACCGGAGAGATTTCCTTGGGGGAAGAAGGCTGAGGCCACCTGTAAAATGATCGGGGTATGGGCAGGACTTTGTAGTGCCAAATGTTGATCTGCTTCCAAGGCGAACTCTTGCAGATGCTTCGTTTTGCTTAGGCCCCTCTCACACACATGGGCTAATTTCTGACTCCCTCCCCAACACCTCTTTTTACAAGGATGCGGATCCCATCACCAGGGTTCTACCCTCACGACCTCCTCTAAATCCAGTCCTCGCCCATAGTCCTCACTCCGGGCACCATCACACTGGGGACTCAGGGCTTCAACACGTGGGTTCTGGGGGACAGCACGTTCTGACCACAGCACGCATCATGTCCTTCCTTCAAAGTCTGCAAGTCCCTGCTCACTGCACATATCTCACGCAGCTCTTCACGTTACACACGGACAGTGAAGCATGTAGTTGTGTTGCC